TGTTGCAAGGCACAGAAGGAATTTGGAGCTCCTCGTCCCGCCGGGGCTCAGCCATGAGCCCCCTAACCCGCTCTGCACCGCATACACCCCCCCGCAGGTGCTCGCTCCCTTCCAAAAATACGGTATTCTGCACTTGATTTCTAGTAAAAAAGCAAACGTGAACGAAGGAAGGGAATCCTAACATTTTATGGTTAAGCTGGTTTTTGGGAAATCCAACTGGATACCAAAATTGTGATAATTTTGTCTTGTGTTTAAGAAATGTTTATGTGACATTTCCCCAATGCAGCCCTGCCAGGTATGCAGAAAAGGCAAGCTATAAAACCTGCATGCTGGCTTATTGCTGCCTGAATAATCTGCCCTCTCTCTGATGGCTCCTCCACTCAGAACCCAAAATACTTAAAAGTGGTGTCTTATGGACGCATTGCTCCTCACCCTTCTGTCCCTCTCCAGAGCAGCTGAAAGGCAACCGGCAGCAGCCACAGCTCTGCTGTTTTCTGCCCTCTGATTCACCCATCTTCATGCCACGTTGATGTCTTTAGGATGGATATACAACAACCATAAGCTTTTCACCATGTCCTTTTTCCAGCTGACTGAGCTAAATCATGCTTCAGCTTCCTGCTATAAGGTCTGCTGAAAGGGTGTTTTATTTACTCTTTTATGTAGCTTTAAATAGCAATTTTTTTTTAATGGCTTAGTATTATTCCCATATTAAGGTCATGTTTAGACTTGCATCCTTGTTCCAATGAACTCTATAAAGGCCGCAATAAAAATGCCTGCCCAACACTCTCATATACACACCTGTGTACATAATACGGCTTTCCAGTACGCTAACGGCTCCTGCCACCACGCTCAGCCAACACCCCCTGGCTGCACTCAAAATCCGCGCTGATCACGCTGCAACCACAAAATCTCAGTGCGAGACGGAGCCGATTGCGCCGCCTCGCCATCCCCTGCGCTCTCCCGCGTTTCGCCAAGGATGCCGGCGGCGGGGCCGGGATGCTGGAGCCGCAAGACGCCCCGTTCCCACCTCGCAGCCCAATGCAAAACTATGCCGGGCGACTCCGGCCTGAAAGCATCCTTTCTCCCTTCTTTTTAAGCGCGAGGCGCCATCCCACAAAAGAAGGCACTCTCGCCTTCAAAAGGTTTCTGTTCGCGCGCCGTGGCCTGCCCTGAATCGGCTGCATTCATGGGCTCGCCCTCCGTCTCGGGCTGCTCCCTCCCTGGCTGTGGATTCGGCAAAACACCGAGCAGAGCCAGATATAAATCTCTGCCGCTCAAAGGAAATATTTAGCAGCGAAACGAGTCGAGAACAAAAGACTTCTCTGTTACTCACCCAATCCTCTCACTCAGGGTGGCTCTATCTAACAAGCAGGCAACCGAGCGCTCCTGCCGGGCACGGGCACGGGGACGGGGACGGGGACGGGGAGCGGGGCTGCCCCACGCCTGGGAACTGGGAACCCCGCACGGCCCCGAGCACCGCCGGGGAAACGCAGAGCTTTTTCCATCAAGTCCACCGCTTTGTAAGCGCGAGAGGCCTGCTTAGGGCAGCGAGGGGGGGAAAAACCCCCGATGTTTCCCGTTAGTTCTGCAAAAGGAAAACTCAAGACAAGTTAACGCAATTTTACGTACGTATTAAAAGCTGAGGAACATTAATCCACAGATTCTCGGGGTTCTGCTCTCATTTCCCGTTGTGTGAGCTGTTCCGAGATTTAGGATGTAGGATGCAGAGCAACTTTGTTCCTCTTTTTATTGTAACTGCGATTGTATAATTCGGTAATTCACAAGAAAGTCTGGAAAGGCCAAGTCTCCCCGGGAATTCATCGAGGTGACTGCACTCTGACTCGGAAACTCAACAGGTTTCTATTGTAAAATACTTATCACAGAGACAGACAGCCATTTCGTAAGCAGTAACACAAGAGAGACAGCTAAGCCATTTTACTAGAACTCAGGAAAGTCCTTTTGGGAAATAAGCGGTGCGGGACAGGGCATGCACCAGCATCTGCCCACCAGAGATACTGGAACCAGTAACACTCTGACTGGGGCTGGCCCGCTCCCAGCCTGTAACCCATCAAACCGGCTGCTTCACCAGCTGAATTTGCCACCGACCCGAGTGGGAGCAGCGAGGTTTGAGGCGGTCGCTGAAGCTCCCGACAGCAGTACCCAGCAGCAGAAGCCGAGGCTGGTTTGGGGTCGCTCACGGCAGAGCCGTCGGCGCCGGTTCGTCCACGCGGCGCAGCAAGGTAAAGAAATACACGGAGCAGAAAGAGGTGCGATGCACGCGTCCTTATGGCACGGCCCCGGTTCTTGCCCAAATCCCGCCACTCCTGCGCTCATTCGGTGTCTTGCAAAGTAAAGGACTAGTAAGTATTACCCACACAACTGAAAATTTACGATACCATTAGCTTAGCTCTGTATTCAGGTTTTTTTATAGTTGTTCATCGTCTATCTAAAGCAAAAGCTTCAGTGTTTCGTATCATTTGTTTTTCAAATTTTTCCTTTTTGGTGCAATTATGACCTTGAAAGCTACATTGGTAATGCTCAAAATTCTTCAAAAATACTGCCGTTTGAATTTTAGTCATGTACCAAAAGAAATATTACACAAAAATATTTTCTGGCTTTATCTCTACAGTTCCTGAAAAACTGCGTCTTGTGGACTTGGGATACAAACGTACTGGAGAAACCAAAACTACATGAGTAGAGAAGACCTCAAATGGCCAGTGTGATCTGTAACAGTCTATATACACCTTATATACATACGACTGTTTGAGAGCCTGTATTCATGAATGTGTACAGTCTACATGCTGCACAAAGTTAATCTGCTTGAGGGTTTTTTTCTTTACATCTTTTTTTTTTAAACTACTGTCGGAAACAAGGAGAACAACCTTGGGGCGGCACGGAAAACGTGTGGTTACTGGATTTAGTCTTACCCTCCTAGTGCCACTGCTCATTAACCATGAACTGATTTTGCAAATCTGTCATTCAACACAGTAAGTTCTACATTTTTTTTTCTTATTGCATTTGTACATGTAACAAATTGGTACAAATGTTTACAATAAAATGTAAAGTTCATTGATACAATGCCTTTCATGACGGCCATAACTGGTTACTAGCCAACTCTGTAGTTTTTTAGAGACATTTTTAGCTGAACTTGGAAAAATAGGAAATGTATTGTAGCTTAAAATAAATGTACATAATATACAATATATATATTTATACACGTGTATGTCTACATACACATATATTGATATAATATTTTAAGTAATGTTTAGTTTTGATCAGTTCTCTGAGGAGTGCTGGGACTACCTGGCAAATAAATCTAGAAACGGAATTTGTCCACAATTAAATAATCATTTCCACAACTTAGAAAAATATACTTTTACTAAATAAGGTTTAAATTAACTGATTTATGGATATAGCATGTAGGATAACGGTTTCCAGACTCCGGCATGATTAAATCTGAAAGAACCCAAGCTAAAACCGGTAACAAATGCTGCCCCGCAGCCAAACACAGAAATACAAGCTGCTGCATCATCGGTGGCACCCAAACCCTCTCTGGTTCGGTCACCTCTTTTACACAGGCTTCATTGCCACCCGACAGAAGTCGCCCACCCAACCTCACGCTCGGTTATTTAAGGCCCATTTCAACCCCAACCACGCAGCGCCTGCCGCCTTCTCCAAATACAGCACTTGCTGATTGATGTGAGCAGCTCCCCACTTCCACCCAACTCTTGCCTTGAGAGCTAACATACAATCAAGATCCCTAATTAACCTCTTGGAGGACCATCAGTACTTGACCTTCACCATACGGACTTTGATGTACTGCATAGGTAAATATATTCTAGTAAAACATACATATATGTGTCTGTGTGTGTGTGTGTATATATATATATACACACACACATATACACACATGGGTGTGTGAGTATGTGTACATCTCTATATAAAAAATTTCATGGAGCTATGTGTAGTAATGTGATATACCATGGTATCCTGCATACGTGATCTGATTTTTTTTTTTAAATATATAGGCACCACAAGTAAGTATATAGAGCAAATCAACCTTTAAAAATTAAAGTTAAATCAGTGGACAAGAACTTTGGTAAAGCTTGTCAATATTTATTTTTTTTTTTTAAATTCAAATACAGTCAAAGTCTATCAGTTGCCATCACCCTCTTCACAAGAGGAAAGTGCATGGGTTTTTTTTTTCCTAAAGAAAATTACACGTAAGGTGGGGCTTAACGATTCAAGAAAATTCTGAATTAAATGTTTACATTTTCCAAAAGATTACTATCTTTCTGATGGAAAGAAAGCTAAATAGAGTTCTTGTCCTGTGTGTATTTTATTTATCGTATGCATATATATATAAATGTGTATATATATATATATGTATGTCTCTGTTTATGTACGTGTGTGTATGTATATACACATCCACACACTTTCAACATGAGAGAGGAACCTGTTTTTCTCCACTTTGTATGTGGAGACTTACACGTTCCTCCCTGTCTTGTACCCTGTGCAGTATAAGCTCTAGTGATGAGGCCAAACAAAAAGATATAGTTCACCATAGTATATTAGTTTATGTAGCAAAGTCATTTTCAAGCAAGTAAAATAAAGCTCTGTATTCCAAACTTCTTTTCCTTTACATTTCTCATAAAGAAAAGGAAGGAAAAGGAAGAAGGGGAGGGAGGAGGATTATGGCAGTAGCATTGAGCCAGTGGCACGTGTGCGTGTGCGTGCGTGTGCGTGCCAGCGCGTGCACGCGTGCACACACACACACACGCACAGAGAGCAGGGCTTTGGTTGACAAATGCAGATTGTCCAGAGGAGGTGGATGCGAAAGTAAGGAAGACTCTACAGCGATGCAATTGTACCTTTTATGTTTGCATGGAGTGAGAAAACAAATTCAATTGAAAAAAAGCAAAAAAGCAAAGACCTCTTTTTAGGTCCCTCATCAGTGAGAGCATACTCAGTATGCTAGAGAATTTATCTGAAACCTTTTAAATCAAGGCCTCTTTATTACAAAAATAAAAACGAACAAACAAAAAAGTATGAGACGACAAGATGCTGAAGTGTCACTCCAATCGTCCCTGCAGAGAACAATTGCATCCCATTTATTATTCATTCTCTTCTCTCATTTCTACGATGTCTGTCATTTCCTCTGTGTGAGGCATGTCGGTCATTGCAGAGTCTTCACCTTCTGTAGCTGTTTCATTCTCATTCCGCTTCTTTTTCTAGATTGAAACAAGCATTCAGAAACCTATCAGTAAGTTGTGCACGAACACGGTCCTACAAACTTCGGGCACTGGCAGAAGCGAGGTGGCAATAACGGTTTTTTTAGAGTATATTATTAAAAGCTAGGATATCTGTGTCATCTTTGTGGCTTGTCACTAGTAAGTTGGCTTAACTTAGGTTTCCGTAACCTTCCTGGGGTTCAGCTTTCTCCTTTGTAACATAAACGCAATAATAGAGGCATTTCTTATGGTAAGCAACATCCAAACCAGGCTTCAGCATGACTGGAGGGAAGAGAGCATCTGGGATCTTTTACATCACAGACTTTTTATTAAAAAAAAAAAAAAAGCAAACAAAATATGAGAGAAGATAAGCTGCTTTAGGGGGGAAACAGAGGTGGCAACCTAATTTCTCAAACATCAAACTTCAGGAATTTTACAAGATATGAGCATTCTGGCTTTTCTTGGTATTGCTGATCCATAGTGATCCCCCACCCCACCAAGGCCAAGTAATATTAGAGTATTTTTGGCTAGCAGGAGCAGGAGGGCATTCAAGAGTCCTATGATTCATCCAGGATGTCCTGGATTAGTAAAGCTAAGAAGCATTCAGCTCCACTACAAAACAAGTTGAAGCATCTGTTCCTTATTATCCGTTTCTCAGCAGGCTGACTAGTTTTACAGAAAACACTTGTATAGCTGACAAAAAATCCCCCACAGGTATTATTGATTCAGCTGAGTTGGGCATATCAGAGTTTCAGAATTTCAGAGGCGTCTACACACCACTTGATTTGCAGCTCTCAAATGCCGCCCACTTGTTACCACTATAGGCGAAAACAAGTCGGTGTATACAGCTACCGGTTGGATCTGCCACTGTCACATTGGCTGTTGAGAGGAATGCTGTCAGCTACGTACTAATTCTGGTAAGGGAATAAATTAGGTTGGCACGGTTATTATTACTACTACCCGCACACATCACTGCGAAAAATTAAGCACCACGTCCCTGGGCAGTAACGCTCTACGAGCCACTGCTGTAACAAACAAGCGATGAGGAGGTTAGTCCCAACAGGCCAAGAACAGCCATTTCAGCGTCTACAGGTTTTACTCTTTGGTTCTCAATAAAAATATCGCAGGCTAATCATGACAGAGATCAAGGTCTTCTATTTTCTTATGGTCCCTGTACACTTTGGTCTATTGCCATGGCCTGCACTGTTAATAGGTGTCAAAACTGGTTTTAGTTTGTTCCAACATAAGGCTTTTAGATATTCCATCTTCTGTATTTTTTTGCTAAAAATAGAAGTAGTGGGCATCTTCACTTGGCCATTAGTAAGAATTCTAATGAAAACCAAAAAAGGTAAATGCAGAGATTACATTTTCTGCTCCCATCCACAGAGCCCTTCTGCCCTATGGAATGATGTACACACCATGCCGTTTCTGCCTGGAGTTGGACCTGGTGCCCTACACAGTGCCTTGAACACATAACTGGAAGGACAGTACCCAGTCACCTAGCCAATATTTATCCTGTGTTTGACTTCATTTAGTGGAATATTCTTTGAAATCCATGTATTGCTACTACTCTGTACATGCAGGACTGTAGTGTGTAAAAGATGTAAAAGAATGCCTATGAGAAATCCTCATAATTGTAAGCTTAGTCTCTTCTGCTGCAGCAGTATATCTTCTTTTAAGCCACTTCTTTAGATGGCAAAAAAAAAAGCAACTGTACTTTTTGTCCGTTTTCAGCAGAGCTGGTTTCGTGAAGAAAGAAAAGTATACATATAGATATATATACGCACACATATACATATAATAAGCTTGGATGAGTAGTTCGTATGTTTACATAAAGAAGCCATGTCGTACTGTAGTAGCAGATCTACAGTGCAAAATAGGTGGTGGTAAGGACATGATATCCACGATACACATGTTTTGAGGAGCAAGAGGTTTACTTCAGCCCGGTGAGTCCCATGGCTGAATGCCCACCAGCAGCTGGAGGGCACCTTTTGGTTTTATTTCCACCCAAAGAATTCCCAAGTTGCGCACTCTTGAGACCGCACAGGGAAGCAAGCCAAATTCAGTAAGTAGGGATGCTGGGGAGTTACATTTCAAAAGCGTACTCTTAATCTGAACTAAAATCCGCTATATTCACCAACTGCTTTCACCAGATCCTGCAGAGCCTAATTCTTACCTGTTTCCGATAGACGTAACAGGCTGCTATTGCAACCATGGTGGATTCTCCTACAAAACCAGCTAGAAGGGATCCTACTCCAAGGGTGGCTCCATGAACTCTGTGGGTAGCGTAAAAAGAAAGCAGTCATGGTTGTGTGAGAATGCATGAGTCATAATTATATTTTCACTGTCATATAGAACCAATCTGTTGTTAGAAATATTTCCTTCAAAGACATAATACACTGGCAAAGAGAATAACTGGCATTTTAAAGGACTTTTTTGTTTCATAACGGCTTCACTGTTTAGCAAAAGAACCATATTCTGAATCAAACTATGGACTAAGAATTTAAAGTCTTGTATGGAGTGCTGTAGAATAGATTATTTAACTTATAAACAAGACATTCTTCCATTAGCTTTCTTAAGAGTGCATTTAATAACATGGAAATAAATTCCTCTTAGGACAGCTTTTTGCCTCTGACATTTGCATATTTTTTCAAAAGGGACATCACTATCGTGCCTGCCTACAACAGTCACACTTGTAAATTTGTAAATGTTTCTTTTCCAGATATTGACGCTATTTAGGCTTTATATTATGGTTCATATTTGGGGAAAATGTTCTGAACTATGCAAATTCAGCTACCAAGTGACAGGGAACAGGAATGAAGAGGAAAGCAAACCCATCAGCTCTGTGGAGAATACTGACTTACCCCAAGTAAGGCAGCACAATGAGACTAGCGATGAGGACGATAATCCGCAGCACTGAGCTGGGTGCCAACACAAATGTCTTCTTCAGAGTCATCAGCCAACCAGTCAGATGTGCTCTGACCGTCACTGTTCATCAACAGGGCAAGGGGAGGGGATGGGGAGAAAGGGAGGCAAGAGTAGCAAAACAAAAGTCAGTCATCTCATATGACGCTTTTTCATGCAGAGCGTGCTGTTCAGAAATAACCATGGTGAAACTTGTTTCTGGTGACTTTGCACACTGGGAAACCCTACCAGAAACGAAGTAGGTCTTGTTGGATCCAAATTGCTTTAATATACTGATTTTTTTTGCGGGTGGACAGCAGTCCTTCCTAAGAGCTGCCCTCTTACAACCAATTTATTGCATAGTCCATGCAGTTTTCTTCATTACAAAACCCTAGCCTCTTCCCTAAAGAGAAATCATACCAAGGAAAGCTTTCCATCTAGCTCCTGTGTGGTACACGGTGCAACAGGTAGGCACAAAAAAAGGTATCTACATGTACCTATTCTTATATTTGTAGCTTACGTTCATTATAAACCTGTCAAACACTACATGATGTAGCATTTAATTACAGAAGTTAGAAATTTTTTGAGAGGAAACCTTTTGATTATTGCTGTCAAGCTTGTCTCTCTCTTGAATAGGGGCATTAACTTTTATTCTATATTATGCTCTGATGATATCTGAAAGAGCCACTGAATCTGGCAGCAGAAGGGGAGACTAATGGAGGTGATGTTACTGTGGGGGTGGTCCTAGATACTATTCCAAACAGTTAATTTCAGACTTGGCAAACATCTATCGCTACTGCCATTCATATGCGTGTTCTTGGTCAACTACAATAGACAGAATTCAGGCTTTACATTTGACAGTCAGAAATCTGCCTAATGACAGACTGCTCTTACTGCAACATTTGTGTCTTGACTACCGATGTAAATAACCTTGGTCTACACCAGCTTTAATAAAAATGGTATTACTTATGCTAGGCATGCATTTAGCCACTCACTCTTATAGGTACAGCCATGCCAGAGTCTACCACCACACCTCACAGCTGGTTTGGTTTTGAGGTTACAGAGTTTTTATTTTCTTGGTTTTTACCTGGAACTGGAAAGAAGGAGAAGATGCGCAAAGGAACAACACACAGCTCTGCAAAAGCGAAGTCTACTCCAATTATGTCAACTAAAATCTTCTCTGACACGTTTGGCGTCCAAAACATCACAAAACAGAGCTAGGAAGAACAAAATTAAGAAATGTTTATATTTCAGAAGGGAGGCACAACAAAAGATAGGCCCTCCTGGCCTGAAAAATTTGTTTACTCTACTGATGGGTAGATAACTCTACTGATGATAAATATACGTACATATTTATATGTATATATGTAAATATACATAAATATTTATACTTAGCTTGCAATCAAATACACAGAGTACACAAATGTACATAGGAGGGCATGTTAGCTTCAGAAGCAATTCCTACTCTTCATGCTCCTCACATACCAAGACTGACACATATAGAAAGAATTTTTATGGTGCCTGCAAATAGTTGTACTTGAATGGTCTAATTGTTACAAAAACACCGAGAAACTTGATTTTTACAGTACCAGCTCTGGTTAAGACACCCATATTCCTAAACAGATTATCAAATGTTTAACTAAAGATTTGAAGAAGTACTCCAAGACCCAGAGATCTGACCTAAATCTAAGGTAGGGGTTTGAACACGCTGCTGATACTCGTACTGTTGGTACGTAATATGCCCGATAGCAAGGCAAAGGTGTTCAGCACAGTCCTGCAGACACAGTGCCCTCAGGCCACGAATCAACCAAGTCTTGTTATATTTATTAAAGAGTGTGCTGTTTAGTCATACATGAAAGGAAAACTTCCATAAAAAACCCACCACAAATGGTATAGAGGTAGTACACGCTGTTTAATTTTTGGGTCAATACTGAGGCAGGGCTTCAGTCTGGGGCTGTTGGCAGCTGGCAGGTCCAGCTTTGGTTCAAGGTACTCACCAAAAAAACAGTGCCAACAGCCCTTACAGGACTTTTCCTGTAAAAAGGGGTACCTGACATCCTTTCAGTATAGCTACTTTGTTGTTTAACTTGGTTTTGTGATTAAAAAAGTTATTTCTTCCTGTTATTCTCACAGTAAAGCAGATGTTAAGGAAATGAGCTGACTGAACAGGACAAAACTTGGGACCTTAAATGCTCTGGCACTCTTCTCGTCAGGCTACAAACCAGTGTACCAGGTAAATTATGTGCACTGGCTGTGCAATCTGATGGCTCTGTAAGACTTTATAACCACACTCTTATAATTTAGCATACAAGCTAGTATCACAGTATCTAGCTCTTCTCTTTTTATCCAGTTGTCACATCCCTACATGTTCAGATGGCTTTTAAAGCTAGTCTTTGAAGTCCTACCACCTCCAAGACAGCTGGGATTTCACTTTCATTCTTTGGTTGTGTGCCAGAGATTGTCCTTTCGCTTTAGACAACAAGTCCCCAGACTGCAGAAGTTTCCCAAGGCCTGTGACTGGGTGGCCCGTGGGAGGTCTCGCGTTCTGACTGCCTGTGCGGTGAACAAAACATTTCACCTTCCTGCGAAAAGGCTCATCTTCGGTTTTCTTCTCCACTTCTTAGGGGAGGAACCACTATTTCTTTTTCACAATTGAATGTTTTACTTGACTAATTTGATGCTGTCTTGCGGTGTATTTCCATCACCTATACAGAGAACAGTAAGTGGAGGAAGGTAGGAGCAGAAGACAAATGAGCCGAGCGTGGATTTTTTTTCTGCTTTAGCCAGCACGTCTCTCTCCCTGCCAAACTACTTGTACAGGGTACAACTGAAGCAGAGGGGACAATCTAGAGCAGGGAAGGTTGTGTGGTTGAGAATCCTGTTATTAAAAGGTAACCGTACAGTGACTGAGCAAATTCTTTCATTGTTGCAGACACCATTAGGCAGACCGCAGTGATTTGTACTGTTACTGCAAAGGACCTGTAAAGCAACTATACAGGCATATTTTGTCAAATCTTTCTTCAAAGTCCAATAAACAAAATAAGATGCAAAGATGGCCAACCTTTAATTATAATTTGCTGTTTTCATGAAAGCACAGACCTTTACGCTGCTCGTACTGCACAATGCCATTAGCATCTTACTGAGGAGTATACTTACTGCTGCTGCAAGATTCCATATGTTTATACTAACAGCAGAGTCTGCCCGCTGCTAGCAAAAGGCAAATAGAGCACTTTCCTTCTTCAACAGCCATTTGAAAGAGTATTCTGACATGGTTAGAGAGCTCTAACATGGTTAGACAGGCAAGCAAATAAATGACCAAAAGCATTGCTCTCAATCCTATTCTCTTTGAAGTTAAAGGTTTTTTCTGGCCTTAATAAGAACAGACTGAATTTCCATCCAGCTCCTACGGGAGGAAGGTCAGTTTGCAAATCAGGGGTAATGACTTATACCCAGGTGGTATGCAGTCATTCCTCCTCAGCTGTTGCAACCTGCTTTCTTCTCTGCCCCCCTGATCAGCAGAGTCAGTGCTCATAAACGGCTTCAAAGAGCGCTTCTTATATAGCAGCTGGTGGGTAAAGACAGCAATGACTGCTAAGCTCAAGAATAAGCAGTTTGAGGAGGTGAGGCATGGCAGCAGAAGGACCTTCTATTTCTGTCTCAGCGTGTTTCTATCTTTTTGGTTGCAACATTGCTAACTAGTTTAATTTTGCTAACAGATTCCTCTCTGTCATCTTATGAGCAGATGATATTCTCATTGCCCACAGGGAACAAAACCTCAGGAAAAAGAATGAATGCTTTGCATCATGCAAGCCCTCTGCAATTTAACTTCTAGAGTGCTTGCAACTTCAGAAGTTTCCATATTATCTCAAAGACAAATTGAAAATGTAGTGGAAAAAAACAGGCTTTACTTCAGGAAAACAGTAATGCTAAACATGCAAAGTAAGGAAGGTATTTCAGCTATTGATTTTATTACAGATGAGGTATATTGAAAATAGGATAAAGTCTTAGCTTTTTTGTGATGCCAAGTGGTCTGTATGATGTTTGTGATTCCCTTGGTAAAGGGTGAAGACTGATCAGAAAGGAGACCGGAGAAGATAGTAACAGATGAAATGATGCAAGTAGTCCAGTGAAACAGGGAGCGTGACACACACAGCTAGAGATGGGATCTAGTGGAGTAAGCGGTACTAACCTCCTGGGGCTCAGATCAGAAAAGGTTTTAGCAAATAGATTTACCTATAGGATGTCTCCTATCTTTTTTCGAGTTAAACACTGTTTGTTTCCCCCTCCCTCTTACGTCTTTCTGCGTGTCTGCAAGGTTAAAAATAGAATAAATAGGCTTGGGTAGGGTTACAGTTATACCTTCGTTTAATCTAATCAAGAGGTGAAGATGAAACAGTAAAAGCTTCCGCACAGGCTAGCAATATGCATGCATAATGGCATTGCAGCTTCAGGATGCAACTGCAGTTTGCTGCAATGGCTTTATACAGTAATGAATATTGTACTTGGCAACTCCACTCAGGCTGAAGCATTTTAATGCTTTGGGAGTAAGGATTTTGCTTGTGGAGTTCTAGCAACATAGTTGATTTGATTTTCTGTTATCTTATGGTATGAGTGCAGCATGATATTAAAGGATTGTTTTGTTAAAGCCTTTGATCATTTAACCGGAACCTCAACTGAACAGCGATGAGTGCTTTGAAGATAGAGGAAAAAATGAAGATAAAAACAGGAGAGTGGAACACTACAGAGCATACGCAGGCCCAAGTAAAGACAGAAGGATTTATTATGATGGTGTTATCTCTGCATAAACAACAGTAGCCTAAGCATTTCTGGCAGTGTTTTCATCTTTTGAACTGATCTGAAGGGCTGTGCTATTGGGTAACGTGCCTTTAACTGATCTACAGTAGTAAAATATGAAAGAGTTTACCAAAGATGTCAATAATTTAGAGCACCATGAGGAAGTCAGTACAGCCGCACTAGATCCGATCAAGGCTCCTGCTAGATTAGTACCGTCTCCCTGCTCAAGGTCACTGGGGGCTGCCTAAGGAAAGGGCCCAAAGAGCAGGGCAGGGGCAGATACGAGATGTCCTTCCCCGTCTGCATGGTCTGAGCTGCTGGCCATTACGGCTTCACGAGTTCAATAACTGTGGTGCACCTTCATCCCATGCAGCATTATGTTGTGCATACTACATATCTAATATTAGTGATATTTTTTTTTTCCAATCCAGTTGTGCATTAAAGTCAAAAACTCTCTCACTTGTGGCTTAGCCACTCCCCGTAAGTAGGTGTGCTTACTTTCATCTGGAATCTTGCAATTCTCAGCTAGCAAATTCAGTGTCTCGGTGTAGTAAAAGGCTACACATAAAAAACTTCTGCTGTCGCCAAGCCCGAGAGAATGCACCAAATCTTTGTTTCAGTAGGGAAAGTATCAAACTGCTAGTGCTCAGTCCAACTTCTCGTTCATCTCTTAAGTACACTTCATGCATTTGACTTTCACAAATGATTGTGACAAAAGACTGTTCATGAGATTTTTCAGATGCTGCATGTGTGAGTTTGAACGCTAGTAGTTGAAAACTAACAGTCTTTTCATAGACCCTGCATCTCCTGGAAGCTATTTCCATTTATTCTGGTTGCTGACAAGGATTACTAAACCTCAGAGACCCACTACATAATGCATTATAATACATTATGCTAACAAAGGCTATTGTCATGTGTCTAGTAATCTGCAGGGTGCTAGACTGATTTGCTTTTTGGCATTTGTAGAAAGCTGCCTGTCTTTTGGGACATTTATTGATAAATATAAGGCACAAAAGAGTATTCCAGTGAGCTATGAACAAGAGAACAGCGTTTCTAGACTTCAGTGCAGGCTCCAGTTAGAAGAAATGCTGCCCGATGATGAAGACACAATATGTTTCTATGTTCCTCAGAAAGAAGCTATCGAATCCAAAATGGATGTTTTTAAAAATAGGTTAGACATATACCAGCCTGGAATGAGACTGGAATAACAGATTTTATCATGGGGAAGGGTAGTGTTAACCTGTTAAAGGTTCTTCTGTGATGAAATGCAGTTCGTATTTTTCTCCTGCAAAACAACTCTCAGCAGATGTTTTATATTATTTGTTGAACTTGCTATATTTGCAGAAGTATGGCTAAGAGAGGTGTTTCACCCTCAAAATATTGTTCTATGTATGTATTGAGGATTGCACCTTAACTGATTTAA